TTGTTTCCAGGTTTTCATCATTAAAATGCAATAAATATTCTTAGGTACATTTGTTCCCATGGCATATCCCAAAGCAGGGTTGCTTGGTCAAAAAACGTGTAATTATAATTGTAACAGGAGGTGGTCAGATTGCTTTCCAAAAAGATCATAGTACTACATTTCCAATGGCATTAGGGAAGATCCCCTGTTGTTCAGATCACAACCAGTATTATAGCTCTTTTTGACATTATTGTTGCCAGCCTGATGGGTATAAAATATCTTATTATTCTTTTAATTTGCATTTCTCTGACCACTAGTGAATTTCAGTCTCCTTCTCATGACGTTCTTGCCTATTTGACTTGCATTTCTATGAGTTACTATTTATATCTTGCTTTCCAAATTTTTGTCCCTTCATAACCTTTCTTGATAGAGGGCTAGCTGACTGGTCCATTTAGATTCTCCCTGGCCTCTTTTGCCACAATATCCCTGAGTACTGTTAGAATCCTCATTTTAAAACATGAATTGACTCCTCTGTACAGGTCTCTCTCTTATGAGAATTAGTATTCCCTACTCAAGCTGGATAAACGCCAGGCAGGAGGAACCAGAAGATTCACTCACATCCCTCTTCTGGAACAAAATGGATGAACGCAACACAAATTTTCAGCTTTTAAAACATCTGATTGAATTAGGTGCTTTATCAAGAAATGCAGATCTGTAGCTGTAGAATAAGGTCTCTCTAGCTGTGTCAAATACCCCCTTTGAAACATGGACTAGCCTGCATATAAAGCATTCCCTGGGCATAACAGTATTTCAGAATGACAGATGTGACTGGGTGGTTTTAAAGGGCACAGATAGGATGGTATGTATCTCTCTCAGTAATTAGTTCTGTGCTCATCATTCTAATCTATCCCAGCCAGCTGCATGCAGCCGATTGCTACCCAGTCAATACAAAACTCAGCCAACTGCTGAGGAGGTGTCGATCATTACGCTGTCCTGCTGAGTACTCACTGAGACCAGCCCTCTCCCCAGGAACCCTCCAATAATTAAAATGATGTTGATTGCTGATCTCCTTGTCACTACAATGTAAAGAAAATAAAAAGTACTCAGCCTTGTCTGTATGACTAACATCATCTGACTTTGTAAGGAGGGGTTGCCAGAAGACTAATGCCCACTAGGAATTTTCTGTTTCTAGTACCCACCTGAAATTATCCATCTGCTCACCTCATCCTCATCCAGCATTAGCTGAGAGCACAGGAAGTTTACTCCAAAATAATAATAGAGAGAGAGGTCTCTCTGCTTTCTTTATTCAAAGCAGTAATCTCTTTGATACCAAAATAATTATATGACCAAAGGTGTTAAAGTGAAAAAGAACATCCCTCTATGTTTGATAGGTCCCCAAATCAAATCAAGAAAGAGTGATTTGCCCAGTTATAGTTGGTTAATGTCAAGATCAAAACTTTAACATATAAACCCAGACAACATGAGTATTAGAATGTTCATGAACATTCATGATTTTCACGGAACCTGTGAGACTTCTAACATTGCATGAAAACTTTGTTTTTCTTCTTCTTCTTCTTCTTCGTCTTCTTCTTCTTCTCCTCCTCCTCCTCCTCTTCTTTTCTCCTCCTCCTCCTTCTCCTCTTCCTCCTTCTCCTCCTCCTCCTTCCCTTCTTCTTCTTCTTCTTCTTCGTCTTCTTCTTCTTCTCCTCCTCCTCCTCCTCTTCTTTTCTCCTCCTCCTCCTTCTCCTCTTCCTCCTTCTCCTCCTCCTCCTTCCCTTCTTCTTCTTCTTCTTCTTCGTCTTCTTCTTCTTCTCCTCCTCCTCCTCCTCTTCTTTTCTCCTCCTCCTCCTTCTCCTCTTCCTCCTTCTCCTCCTCCTCCTTCCCTTCTTCTTCTTCTTCTTCTTCGTCTTCTTCTTCTTCTCCTCCTCCTCCTCCTCTTCTTTTCTCCTCCTCCTCCTTCTCCTCTTCCTCCTTCTCCTCCTCCTCCTTCCCTTCTTCTTCTTCTTCTTCTTCGTCTTCTTCTTCTTCTCCTCCTCCTCCTCCTCTTCTTTTCTCCTCCTCCTCCTTCTCCTCTTCCTCCTTCTCCTCCTCCTCCTTCCCTTCTTCTTCTTCTTCTTCTTCGTCTTCTTCTTCTTCTCCTCCTCCTCCTCCTCTTCTTTTCTCCTCCTCCTCCTTCTCCTCTTCCTCCTTCTCCTCCTCCTCCTTCCCTTCTTCTTCTTCTTCTTCTTCGTCTTCTTCTTCTTCTCCTCCTCCTCCTCCTCTTCTTTTCTCCTCCTCCTCCTTCTCCTCTTCCTCCTTCTCCTCCTCCTCCTTCCCTTCTTCTTCTTCTTCTTCTTCGTCTTCTTCTTCTTCTCCTCCTCCTCCTCCTCTTCTTTTCTCCTCCTCCTCCTTCTCCTCTTCCTCCTTCTCCTCCTCCTCCTTCCCTTCTTCTTCTTCTTCTTCTTCGTCTTCTTCTTCTTCTCCTCCTCCTCCTCCTCTTCCTTCCTTCCTTCCTTCCTCTTCTTCTTTTTCAGGAAGAGTCCATGGTTTCCATCAGATTCCCAAATAGGTCCCACCTTGAAAATTAGTTAAGAGTTACCATTCTAGAGGAAGCTGTACAGGTCTCTCTCTTATGAGAATTAGTATTCCCTACTCAAGCTGGATAAACTCCAAGCAGGAGGAACCAGAAGATTTACTCACATCCCTCTTCTCGAGCAAAATGGATGAACGGAACACAAATATCCAGCTTTTAAAATATCTCACTCCAGTTTCCAGGAGGGGACTCTCACATGAGCAAGGACAAGTCAGAAATCTTAACCAATATTCAGTAGGACCCACATAGCAGAAGGCATAGAACCTTTGGTGGAGGGACAAAGGAGACTAATTCTCTTTCAAGTTTTGATTTTATTGTCAATGTGCTCTTTTCTATCATGAGGTGAAGTGATCAAGTGGAGCTCTGAATGTCCCTATTTAGGACTTTCCTTTATTCTTTGATTATCAAGAGACCCTATGGTGAAGCTCAGGGGATGGATAATGAGAGATGGACTCGGCAGGCTCCACTTAGGCTGCTTCTGTTCTCAACTATCTTTAGTGAGGAAGAGGAAGAGGGCTAGCTAAACAGAAGAGAGCTGGTTAGACACTTGACCAGACTTTCTTTGACCCCAAAAAATAACAGCAACTGAGACTTTCATGCTGTTCAGACTTGAGCAAGAGACCAGACCTGAGCTTCACATAGGAGCCTAACTAGCATTAAGGCACCCCCTTCTACCTGGAGGGGCCAATATATGCATCCCTTGGAGGACCACCTCAGGAATAAGTGGTTTCATCGGGATACAGAACTTACAGACTGGCCACATTAGACATGACTGACATAGTTTACTATTGATTATCCATGGTATCTAACTGCATTTAGGCATCCAGTAGACAGTGGGTTGTACTGAGGAAAAGAAACTCATTTTAGTAGCAATTCCAGGAAAACTGGACTTGCAAAGTAAGTCTGACATACATTGACCAGAACGCATTATACGCATACATGAGTGTGTATACGTACACAGGTATACATTTATGCGTATGTGTAAAATACTTTTCTGTGGTGATTTTGATAAGGGTTAGTTAGTTGGTTAATTAGGTAGACAGGAAGGGGGGGCATCTAGGAAGGATGGAGGCATTTCTGGCTTGAATAATTAAAAGCAGCTCTGATCTGATCAGCTAGGAGAGTCATAAGGGGTAATAAAACATCTCCGGCCAGGACACCTGAGAGAAAGTCCATGGGAGAGGAATGCATAGATGGGGGCTTGGAGACACCAAAATGCATATATTACTTGTACAGAGGATAGAGAAATGCCACAAGATAAGGAGGGAGGAAGGCGTACATTCACAGAAGTAAAGAAAAGTCACAGGATATCGAGAAGAAGGAAATATTTTTACAGAGGATAGAGGAATGCTGCAAGATAAGGGGGGAGAAAAAGGGGGTCACCACGTGGGCTTTGAGCTTTGAAACTAACATTATGTAGCAGAATGATCAGTAAGGAAAGCATGAGGATCCCAAATTATGGAAAGGGACCGATTAGAAAATGTCATGTTCAGATAAAGAACTACAGCCTTTATAAAACAAAGACAAAGAGATTCAGTAGTTTCAGATTATTCAGATTTTTTTTCCCATTAGAAAGAGAGAGCGAGCGAGCAGGTTTTTCCCATTTAGAGCCCCTTCCCAAGGGGGTCCCCTTTGGGAATCCTCCTGCCCAGATGGAGTTTGTATCTGCTTCCAATAAACTTCTACATTCTTATTAAAGAAATCTGTTAGTCCATGAATTTATTTTTCAACTTCATAGGACAAGAACCCACAAGAAGAATCTGCACCCCGAACCCCACGTTTCAATTTTAAACCACCACTGAAGATGATCCACACCACTAGTGTTCTTCAATAATGGAAATACTCAAGAAATAGGGACTATTCTTCTATCCTCCTCTTTCATCATACAGATTAATGTTCAAATGTCACCATGTCTAAGAGCAATATGGTACCTCCTTCCAGTAGCCAGCAAATGTTGCTGTTAATCCTGTGCTAAATTTCAGGGTCTCCTGCACAGCCTAACTTTAGCTTCGGGCAGCTTTGGTTTCAAAGCTACTCCAACAGCATCCTGTGCCTTCAAAGATTATTCATTTATTCTACAAGTATTGACTGAGAGCATACTTTGTGAGTGCCTGTTCCAAGAGATGGAGACACAGAAAGCAAATATCACTGCCTTTTATAGAGCTTGCATTTTGGTGGAAGGAGGTAAACAAACAAAGAGATAAAAACAATTATGCTAGACAAGAGGCCCAGTGCACAAAATTTATGCACTCGAGGGCTGGGGGTGGGGTCCCTCAGCCCAGCCTGTGCCCTCTCGCAGTACAGGAGCCCTCGGGGAATGTCCAATTGATGGCATAGGCCCCCAGGGGGGGCGGGCCTAAACCGTCAGTTGGACATCCTTAGCACTGCTGCAGAAGCAGGAGAGGCTCCCACCACTGCCACTGTGCTCACCAGCCATGAGCCCTGCTCAGGGCTTCTGGCTGAGTAGCACTCCCCCTGTGGGAGTACACTGACCACCAGGGTGCAGCTCCTGCATTGAGCGTCTGCCCCTGGTGGTCAGTGCGCATCATAGCAACCAGTCATTCTGTCATTTGGTTGATTTGTATATTAGCCTTTTATTACATAGGATGGGGATAGTTACTATGAGAAAAAGCAAGAGGGATGGAGCTATCAGAAGTCAGGGAGGGATGGTGTGTGCATATATCATTTAAGACAGAGAAAGACTTACTGAAAGGGAGACATTTGTGCAAAGAACCAAAGAAGGTGAGAGCATGCTCTGAGGTGTTTGAGAAGAAAGAGCTCTAGAGCAAGCATGTCAAACTCGTGGCCCACAGTGAATATTTTTGTGGCTCAGCCAATATAACGGTATGTAGGAAACATTTTAATAAATATTTTGTAACTTAATTTTTACAATATCCTGTTATACATAATTATTAATAACAAACTACAATGTTTGCTAATGACTGATTACTATAATTGTGTTGTATTCATTTTCCTTACACGCCTTACACGCAGGCGCACCATTTCTCTCCACTAATACTAGGGGCGAATATTTTAGCAGCGACTGCCACATCATTAGTCTTGGACTGACTTGTTCGGTGTGCGCAACAGGAAATATTTTGCTTTCGGAGAACAAGAAAAATAGGTTTATTTGCGTTACGCTTATTAATTTGTGCAGTTATTCAGTGTCTGGTAAGTTAATGTTCAAGAAAAAATATTAATTTTTATTAAAATGTTTCCTACATACCGTTATATTGGCTGAGCCACAAAAATATTCACTGTGGGCCACGAGTTTGACATGCTTGCTCTACAGCAGCGGGTCTCAACCTGTGGTCGCCTAAGCCCATCAGAAAACACATATATAATTACATATTGTTTTTGTGATGCATCGCTATGCTTTAATTATGTTCAATTTGTAACAATGAAATTGGGGGTCACCACAACATGAGGAACTGTATTAAAGGGTCGCGGCATTAGGAAGGTTGAGAACCACTGCTCTAGAGGAAGGAACTGCAAATGCAAAGGCCCTGAGGCAGGAGCACACTTGGAGACTAGTACGGCTGAAGCAGAGTGACTAGCAGGTCGGAGAGGCGACAGCGAGCCACAGTCTGGCACTCAGGAGTGGAATCCGACTCTGATACCTTTTTTGATTATTTTTTTTCTAAGCTGCTGAACTAATAACTGTATCCCCCCCCCCCCACACCTTTTCCCTCCAAAAAAATGTACACATGAGATGCCCTGGCCAATGTAGCTCAGTTGGTTGGGTTTCATCCCATGCACCAAAAGTTTGATTCCCGATCAGGACACATGCCCAGGTTGCAGGGTCAATCCCTGGTAGGGGCTGTAGGGGGCAGCCTATTAATTTTTGCTCTCACATCAATGTGTCTTTCTCTCTCCATTCCTCTCTCTCTCAAAATTTCAATAAAAATATTAAAACAACTTTAACATGAGAAAGTTATTTCTGGAAAAAATCTTTTATGATTTTCTCATGATCTCTTTTTGTTTCTCCCAATTCTTATCTCCTCAGACCTTCTTTAGTTCTCTAGTTGTCCACACTCCTGTTACACAGTTTAAGATTTTAACCTTCAAACTCAAAACGCCAGGGAGATCCAGAGGCAGCTGTATGTCAATTCACCAGACCCACAAGGCATGTGCTGGGAGAGAAAAGTACCAGCGTTTGGCCCATTGCCAAGGCACTGGGGGAGAGGCCCTGGGACCAAGGTGGGCACTGGCTCCATGCATAGCTCAAACCTGGATCCTGTCTCTGACATTCTGAGAAGGACCTGTTGGCTTTTGTCTGTTATCACTGGCCATCATTGCTCTCACTGCTGCTGCTCACATCTGGAGGCTGAAAGCAGATAGGATATTGGCCCGGTTACAACTTCACTTCTGGGCTTCGCTTCTAAGCTGTGGTAGACTTCCAATGCGGTCCATTACCCACCTTCCTTCAAATCCACTTGCCTCCTTTATGTCCTTGTAAAACCTTGGTCACTGGCCGAATTCCGTCATCCTCTATGACAGTAACCAGGTCTAGACCCCGGGAAGTAACCTAATTACAATTTGAATCTATTTACTCCTTTCCTGTGCCCTGCTATGAGCCTTGTCCTCGGATCACTGCCATCCTGGCCAAACAACTCACCTGGCCTCCAACTGCCTATTCTCTTCAGAGTAGTGAGATCATTTTTTTTAGACAGCAAATCTGAGCATATCACTCTTCTGAGTCACTTAGAATAAAATTCAAAATTTTTCATATGGTCAGCAAGGGGGCAGTGTGATTTTCCCCGCTCACCTGCTTCTCTAGCGTATTATTACTCACCTCTCCCTTGTTTCCCAAGCTTTGGCCTTTCTGCGCTCTTCGCTCTCAGTCTCAGAGACGACCCTTGCCATGTCCTCCACCCGAAACACCTTCTCTCTGCCTTCCTCGCCTCCCTGACTCCTCCTCCCTGTGTGGTCTTAGCAAGAGCAGATTTTCCTCAGCAACACCCTTCCTCATACTTGATAACCCTCCTATATGGATTTGCAACACCTGGAACATTTATTTTATGGCACTTAGCAAAATGATTATCGATTATTAGGTGATTATTTATTATCTGGACTATAAATGCAAGGATTCACACTTCCCTTCTATCATGTATTCCCAGCTCTTGTTAAAGAAAAATGTTATGACACTGGTTAAAGATGCTAAGGCAGACATTATTTGGGGAGACTACTACAGTGGGGTTGTACAATAGAGGAGAGCCAGAATCAACTCTGAATACAATGAGGACAAGTGGAAATTTATCTGCAGAAGCAGGAGGGATCAGGGAGTCAGGGCTAGGAGATTCTTGCTAGACTGGCTCAACTTTCTGAAGGCAGGCCAGGGTGATAAGATATGAAGGAGGGAGGATCAGGAATCTGATTAGCTATTGAGGGCGGGGGAATTTTCAATAAACTGACCTGGCAGGATTCTTACCAGTCAAGGGCAAAGCTAAAGGTTAGGGTCTTGAGGGTTGTGCTGAGCCTGTGCCACACCCAACACAATGTCTGGCACATAGCAGGTGGTCAATAAATATTTGTAAAGTGAGGTAAGTGGCTGAAAATCTGATTGGGAAAGAATAAGTGTGATTAGTGAATAAAGCTGCTCACTGTAATTTTACCCCTGGAATAAACATAGATAGTCAAGCCCTTCTCAAAAATTGAAAAATGCTTTTATTTAAAATTTCCTTCACTATATCTGCAGTAGAATTTTCTTTGAGTTCATTTCACTATACAGCAATGTAAATGTCCTTCAAAAAGTGTAGCTTTTCCACAATCTATATAATAAAAGCTTAGGTGATGTCATGGGACATTGCCACAAGATGGCCACTGTGACGTTGTCACAAGATGGCCACCCACATCATTACAAGATGGCCACCACAAGATGGCCTGCAGGGGATGGCAGTTGTGGGTGATCAGGTCGGCAGGGGAGGGCAGTTGGGGGTGAGATCAGGCTGGCAGGGTAGGGCATTTGGGGGTGAGATCAGGCTGGCAGGGGAGGGCAGTTGGGGGTGACCAGGTTGGCAGGGGAGGACAGTTGGGAGTGATTGGGCTGGTAGTTGGGGGCAATTGGGCCATTAGGGGAGCAGTTAGGCATCAATCAGGCCGGCAGCAGAGTGGTTAGGGGGTGATCAGGCAGGCAGGCAGGCAGGCGAGCGGTTAGGAGCCAGCAGTCCCGGATGGTGACCCGGATGGTGAGAGAAATGTCTGACTGCTGGTTTCTTAAATTTCTTTTATTTTGCTTCTGGCTTCCAGTTCATCCCCCAAAGGTTCCCAGATTGGAGACGGTGCAGGCTGGGCTGAGGGACACACCTTCCTGTGCATGAATTTCATACACCGGGCCTCTAGTCTATAATAATAATAGTGTAATATGCTAATTAGACCAAACATCCTACCGGATATCCTTCCAGATGACTGTCCAGACAAAGCCAGGGCTGCAAGGGAAGCCCAGGTCTTGGGTGCCAGAGGTAAGCCAGTGCCAGCAACTGGGAGAAGGAAGGCCTACTCTTGCACAAATTTCATGCATTGAGCTTCTAGCACAAGGATCCTCAAACTTTTTAAACAGGGGGCCAGTTCACTGTCCCTCAGACCGCTGGAGGGCCGGACTATAGTTTAAAAAAAAACTATGAACAAATTCCTATGCACACTGCACATATTTTATTTTGAAGTAAAAAAACAAAACAGGAACAAATACAATATTTGTATTTGCATGTGGCCCACGGGCCGTAGTTTGAGGACCCCTGCTCTAGCAGATACATAATTCTCGAAGTGATAAAATACACACAGCTATAGAAAGTGATGTTTTATTGTATAATAATGTTATTTATAGTG